AATAACATCAGTATACTTTTATGATATTAAACTATCCTATCATTTGTGTGCCAATTATTGTATTCAACAGAATGAAAAATCGAAAAATAAATTATTTTTAGAACACATTTTAGAAGTAAATTATTTTGTCATTTTGCGGAGTCAGACAGGATCCCGGTTAGATCCCAAGAAGTTTTCTAGGCGTACGATTTCCGAAGGATTCTCGCGTATCCGTGCAAGCAACTCGAAGCATGATCGCTTGTGTTCATTCCAGAGAGTAACGCGAGTAATCACGAGCGCGAGGGTCTCATTAAAGCCTCTCGTTGTCGGCGGCTTGTTCGTCTTTATCGATGACATAAGAGGACTTTTATAGCGAGAGGGAATTCCTGGCGGCATCCTTGCGCGTATTCGCGGTCCCGCGACCATCTCTCTCTCTCTCTCTGTCCCTCTTCTCGCTTATAATACTGTTAAACGAATGGCACGCACAGAAGAATGTAAGCAGTAAGGTAGATAGATAATTGATCAATCATAATCGATTGTTCTAAGACCGTAAGAAAAATCGTCGACTGATGATGTGGTTGGTCAATTTGCTTACTGCTCAAGTTTTACTGCTTACTCCGCATAGAAATTTCTTATTGTTCTCCCAAATGTAGATTAGATTCAAAGTGTCTAAAATATTTTATCCCAAAATAGATCATCCCACTACGATATCAATTATATTCTTGTCCTAAACATGGGTTCTCTGTCTGGAATTGGGACAGAAACTCGAGTTTTTTTTTTTAGTGTTTTTTGCATCAAATTGCAATGCTATTGCAATTTTTTCATAATGATTTTCTTCACAAACACTTTGAATATTTACTTTTTACAAGTATATATACATACTTGTAACAAGTGAGTACTCAAAGTGTTTCATATATTTTGTTTAAATTTTGTAAACGAAAAAAAATCTTTAGGAAAACATTGAGCAACGCGACTAAATGGGAAGTCGGGCTGGGTGCCAATGAAATCTTCAAGCATTTCTATGCGGAACGTTTTCTCTGCGTGTCGCGCCCTTTGCGTCGCTGCGGCGTGAAAAAAAGTTGCGACCACTCACGGAGTAAATGGAGCCGACGAAGAATTCGCCGGGCGATCGCGGTTGGCGGAATAGAAAGGACTTGGATCGAATCGAAGTCATCCTCGTTTACCGGGCTCGCTAAGTAATAATTGAACCGGCCGGGCGAAGGTGCCGCCGGTCGTACTCGTTTTACCGTTTAGTCGAGCACATTACACGAGACGCGCTTTCGTTCGTGATCGTGAGTGACGACAGCACGCTACTCACTCGTATTGCGACTTTTTGGCCAGTCATCGTCGTTCGATCTCTCGCCTCTCAAGATTGACGGGAGTAATGCGAGTTGCGCTACACGCTTTCGGGCGCGTACGCGCGCGGAATGGCAATTCCGTTAACCGAAAGGGTAGAGTCCCGTCCGTCAATGTCGTTGCGACAACAAACCGGCATACGCAATATTGAGATCGCGGTTTTAATCTCGCGTTTATTATAGACCGCCCGACATCGGACCGCGCGCAATTTTGCGCGAATGTCGCGCGAACATTCCGCGCTCTCTGTTAGTCTTTCTTTCTCTCTCTCTCTCTCTCTCTCTTGCGCGCGCGGCATGAAAACTCGGATTTTTCTCTCAGCGTGCGCGTTGCGTCCCGACAAAACTGAATCACGAAAGGAGCATCGCGTAGCCACTAGGAAAGTATCGTATTGCGCATCGTTCTGTAATAAATATGAGCAAGAATGTACTCTCTAAATTTCTTGGAGTGAAATTTTATTCGCGAGAAATAGAGTGACCATCGAGTCACCCGAATTCGAGGGATTTCTCACTCATAGGGCCGTATTAATAGTCGTTACTTGAAACTTCTTTCAAATGAGATACTCAGACCTGAGTTCAGAGTTAAATGAAAGTTTTTTTCAGTTGAATCGCGATTGTAGATATAATGTATCATATAATTAAGCTGAAAAACTTGGATCTAATAATGAGTGAAAATCTGAGTATCTCATATGAAACAATTTTCAAGTAACGACTATTAATACAAGTTATATAGAGTGAATTCTCTGGAATCGTCTAGTGAGTGGTTGTGTTCAGCAGAAAAAGCTGCTCTGCAACTGTTGTAAAATTTATGAATCTGTATGCTCTCTATCTTGGTTGAATTTAAAAGCATACACCAATCAGATTCACGAATTTTGCAACACTAAGTTGCAAAGTAGGAATATTTTCTGCTGAATGCAGCCGATATTTTCATTTGAAATCGAAGAAATAAATCTGACTGTCACAGGGACATATTAGGTGGTAAACTTAGTTCCTGCGGCTCACAGTTAGATGACGTTAGTTGTAGGTGTAATTTATTTTGACATCTGAAACTGGCTGCATTTTAGAGGTTAGACATTTGTCAATAAAATTCAGTGCGAAGAGATTCATTTAAGCGAGCAGTGCTATTTTTTCTTTTGATTAAATATGGAACGTGATAAGTTGTTTTTTCGACATGTGCTGCTTCATTACTTTGACTTGAAAAAAACTGCAGCTGCAGCTCATAAATTGCTTTTCGAAGCTTATGGCAATTATGCTCCATCGGAAAGAACATGCCAAGTATGGTTTCAGCGATTTAAGAGTGGTGATTTTGATGTCAATGATAAAGAACGCTCAGGCCAACCGAAAAAGTTTGAAGACACCGATTTGCAGGCATTATTGGACGAAAACTCTACTCAAACGCTCCAAGAATTGTCTGCAGCATTAAATGTTACTCCGATGGCTGTTTCCAAACGTCTACATGCAATGGGAAAAATTCAAAAGGAGGGAAAATGGGTACCACACGAATTAACCGCAAATGCCATTGCGAATCGCTTAAACATCTCTATTTCTCTGCTCGCCAGGCAGAAAAAGAAGAGTTTTTTGTGGCGCATAGTGACTGGCGATGAAAAATGGATATACTTCGATAATCCTAAACGAAGAAAATCATGGGTAGACCCTGGCCAACCATCGACATCCACACCAAAGAGAAATATTCATGGCCACAAAGCAATGCTTTGCATTTGGTGGGATATGCACGGCGTCGTTTATTATGAGCTACTCAGACCGAACGAAAGTATCACGGGGGATCGATATCAATCACAATTAAACCGTCTGAATGAAGCATTGTTGGAAAAAAGGCCAGCAGTAGCCAGCAATCGACGTAAAGTCATGCTTTTGCACGACAACGCTCGACCACACGTTGCCAAAGCCGTCAAAGAAACACTGATGCAGCTCGAGTGGGAAGTTCTCCCGCACCCAGCGTATTCACCAGACTTAGCTCCTTCGGACTATTACTTGTTCCGGTCGATGCAGCACGGCTTGGTGGATACACACTTCAGAAATTACGAGGATGTGCGAAAATGGATCGACGAATGGATTGCATCAAAAGACCAATCGTTCTATCGTCGCGGAATCTACGCGTTGCCCGAAAGATGGGAAAAATGTATAGCTAGCGAGGGAAAACACTTCGATTAATGTATTTTTTGCTTTTGACGTCGAAATAAATGAGTTTTTTAAACAAAAAACCGCAGGAACTAAGTTTACCACCTAATATTTACTCTAATCGACTGAAACATTCGCTGATATGGAGTCGCAGTCCACTTTAAGTTTGACTAAAACATTCACTTTTGCGGTGAAAGAGTATCTTCACTATCGTTTCCCGGGAAGATACTGCCACCTTTCATCTGTTTTAAGTGAGTGACTCCACTTCAAGAAATTTAGAAAATAAATATTCAGTAGATCTGTAATGTATACGTACACATACATAAACACAGACACACACATACACAGACATCGGTGCCCAACGGCTAAATTGCGAATGATGCTTCTTCGCTAATGACAGCGTGCGGTTGTGGCTCACCGTGTTCCTCTCATTATCATCCTAAATGCAGTACAAAATCTTCTACCTCCCATCCCCTCTCTCTCTTCCTCTCCTCCTCTGACAGGATAGCGAGGATTCCTGACCGTCACGGATCCGTTATACCGGTAATCGAGGCAATTTTTCTCCCGTGGACAGCAACCTTTTACTTCGTTACCGACCTCCGGCCTTTACCTATTTACCACCTATCACCGCGCGGTATAGCTTCCCGCGATACTAAATTAACGTGTGCTACGGGTATCGAATTAGATGTAGGATAAGGAGATACGTGCGCGCAACGACCGGACGCGAGATTTTCAGCGAAACCGCCGTGTGCACAGGAACATCGTCGTTTACGCGAGTGCAGGCACCTCGTGCACCTCGTCCGCCGTGTGCGCGCGAAAGGTCAAGTAATATTAGAGGGATTGCGACGTGAAAGTTCAATAAATTTAACGCAAATGTATATAAGCGCGCGACCGCGATAACGGTGGCGACCGAGTGGAAAGGGTGGCATTTGAACCTCGGGAAAGACAGCAGTTCCCGTTCGCGAATGCGGATACGTCAAAGACTCGTCCAAGACGAGAGAGGACATCTGAATCCTTCGAGTCCCGAATTGATTTCATTCGCAAACAAACGTTGTTCTCTGCTCGTTGTTGTTCTTAGTGTAGAGACGGATTTTTTTTTAATTTCAACCATTCAACCATTTTAAGAAACAATTCTTTGTTATACAACTACTTTGTAGTTGGCTACTGGAGGTAAGCTGGCAAAATCGATTATTTATACCGTTCCTTAATAGATTTCAGAATCAAGCAAGCAAAGATCTCAAAGTCATCTTTGACATATTTAAAAATGCTTGTTTAATTCTGTGACTTGTGAGAAAGTAGCAGAAATAATCGGCTTCGCCAACTTCGCCCAGCTCTAATTTCCCGGCCAGATTTTGGTGCTTTTGGAATCTTTTGTTTGTGCAAAATAACGTCGCAAAACGTAGGCTGGCTTAATTAGCACGTGAGAGGTAGAATTGCAAACTTTTTACAAGGCGCCTCTGCCGAGATGTCATGCCGGGGACTCCGGGAAACGCGATATCACGCTGATTAGGACGTCGCTTCTGATTTCAGACGAACATGCACGCGTCGTTCCCATACGACGGCGGACGTAGCAGCGGCGGGGGTGGTGGCGGCGGAGGCGGCGGCGGCGGTGGAGGTGGTGGAGGTGGAAGGGGCGTCGAGTATGGCGCCGTACGTCGTCCTGACGCCCTCCTACCGCCTCCGGGCCTCGACCAAACCGACCTCGTTCTGCACAGCAGCCTCGTTGACGACCCCCAGGTGAGCGACGATGTACGTAATCGCAACATATTTTCTCTATTATCATTCCATGGCGTGTTTTTCGACCGCGATAATGACGATGACGACGACGACGACGACGGCGACGCCGACGACGACGACGACGGCGACGCCGATGACGACGACGAAGATGACGACGACTCTCTCTCGGTCGAGAGAGAACCGCGAGACGTTTGAAGACGTTATACTCTTTGAAAGTCCATCTCGAGAGATCAATTAAGGATTCAAAATGATTTTCCACGGCGGAACCGCGCGAGGATTTTCACGGGGAGAGCAACGCGCACGTTCTCGCCGATTTTCATTCTTTTTTTTTCTCTCTTTCTGTCTCTTTTGTTGCGGAAACAGTCGCGTTAAACGCGAAGTTTCAACGGCGCATCCGTTTGAACAGAATGTCAGGCGCTCGTTACAACGCGGCCCGGGTATGTTGTGAAGCACGCCCGCGCTTTGCCGCGGTCAAAAAGATTTTCCCTTCTCTCGCAGGCGTATGCGAAAAGTATTCGTTTAATGTAAAACAGCGTTGCGGCGCGGGGGATATCGTGTATCAGCCAACTCCGCGGCAAAACAAGCGCGCAGAATACGTGCCATCGCGTGTCCGCTGCTGAATTCTTCATCGCGGAGATCTGCTCAACGTATTACTGTGTGTCAAAAACGCGCGTCAAATTTCGCTGAAAAATAAAGAAATGCGCCAAAAGAATCAAGGCGCTTGAATTTCCCCTGAGAAAAAGTTCTCTCAAAAGGAAAGAAAGATGTGAAAAAGAACAGTTTATCCAGTTACACGCGAAGCTCATTATTAGACATTCATATGAGTTGTTCTCCATTTTTCAGAACACAAACGTGGACGATGGAGGGTTCATGAACGACCTGCCGCTGTTAAAAAGTGAGTAACTGTGCTACGTAATGTATCTTGTCTGTCTGTTTCTATCAATCACTTCGCACGGAGGGAACATTATAGTTTCTTCTTCGTGCAAATTTCTTTCCATCTATGTTTCTAATAGAACAGGAATAGGCTGTCAGCAAGAGGCCTGTTCTTTTTAACTGAACTGCCTGAACTGATGCAGACGAATGTAATATGTTAGAGTGAAACAAAGTATATTTGTTACATTCTAACTTATTGCGCCAGTTGAAATAGTTCAGATGAAGAGAACAGACCTAGAGTCTGCCTCGTCAGGGAATTTCGCCAGAAACACGGCAAATTTCTTAACAGCACATTTCAGTTGTCAAAACGCAAATAGCACATACGAAATCCAAAGATAACCAATTACCGCGGAACGTCAGTCTACTCCTCACGGTTACGAAATTCCACGTTGATTTTTGCTACAAGACTCTCTCCGCGTATCGATAAAGAGTTCGCCAAAATTGCAAGTTCCGTGCGATCGGCAGACTCAGCTGTCTGCCTCCACGTGTTATTAGAAACGGCTCTTAGGACGTTAATCGAAAGGCACGGCAGAGAAGAGAGTCAGTCAGTGAGATGTACCTCACGATAACGGTGCCGCATACTTCTCGCGGACAGAGACCGGCGTACCTCACGGATTTCGGAGCCGCTAATGGCGCGTAACACGAAGAGCCGCTGTGTCGCGATACACAATGTCCCGGGCGCGGGTCGGAGAGATCGTTTGGTCCGGAATTTATTCCGCGGCGGAATTTACGCGCTGCAGGGGCGTAAAACGCGAAAGCGCGACGCCGATAAATACGGGCGCGCCGGCTCGAAATAGCGGGGGCAGCGGTATAATCCCGATATAAAGCGGCCGTGCGCTGCGCAACCGGAAATATAAAATACCCGTCCCGGCTCTCTCCTCTCTCTCTCTCTCTCTCTTTCCTGCGCGCGCGCTCTTGTCGCCCTTAATTAGAATTTATCTCTCTTTTTCTGCACGGTGCATCAAGAGCAACGGAGCGCGGGGACTCTTAACCTTACGCGAAAATAAGTTTAAGGCTGCGGATGCGCTTTCGCGCGTAAAGGTGACGCACCAGTGCGCTTCCATTATGCGAGCGTCGCTCCTTTCGCGATATCAATGCTACGCGATAGCGATCGCTGAGACCTACATACGGTTCTCTCTGTCCCTCCCTCTCTCTCTCTCTCTCTCTCTCTTTATCGGAGCGCATCGCGCTGAATTATCCGCTACTTAGCGCACGATCGAATTCAACCCTCGGCTTTCTTTTTGGGGGAAGAGGCTAGCTTCTCCGTATAATGGGATTATGCGTCGCGCGGGATAACGCAAAGCTCGTGGACGCGGGATCGTTCAGCGTGATGTAAATGTACGTTGGCGAAACCCGTGCTGGTCGGGCTATGTTATCTCGCGAGAACAGGTGATTCGGATATACAGCATTCGGTTGTATACGATCACGCGAGTAATGAAACGCATCTTGCTCGCGAAATTTCGCGCGCAGATGCGCAGTTGCGCAAAAGCCCGTCGAGGCTCGGCGGGTCCCGCTGAGAAAGAGGATGTGTTTGCGGATCGCGATATACTGAGGCAGATTAATAAGGAAACTTGCGACACGTCCATATTCCGCGGGCGAATACGCCTCTCGTCGGCGTGTCAATGCGAGATTGAATCGCGGCCAGCCGTCTTGCGAAAGTATCACGTTCAGCTAGACCAATCGTGTCCAATCAGCGGATCAACGGAGAGGTCTCTCTCTCTCTCTCTCCCTCTCTCTCTTTTGCGAGGTTTGTCGTAGAGCTTACACCTGTGCGGAGAGAAGGAGGTGGGTCCGAAAATGACTCTCGCTTTATGAATTAAATATGAAATCATGCCGCGTGATTCACGGCGAATAATATGGCAGTAATTTTCGTATCATTTGAGCCGACAGAATGTCAAAGGCGCCGCGCTTTCTCTCGACGACGCTAAGCCAGAAACCGTAAACGCGAACGATGCAATTTATTTCAATGCGCCCTTAATAAATAAGTCGCGAGGCGACGTCAATTTGCGGGAATGATGATCCTCCTCCTCCTTTCGTCGCTACTGTGAGTTCTCTGCACAAACGGAGACGTTCTACGTTCGGCTGGACAATAGAACCTCGACAAAGCTCCGTAATCATTACGTATTCACGTAAACGTTAAATCTAACAACTCGTGGGAGCGAGTCTGGTTACACCTGGCGTCACATTAGCTTGCAGCTAGCTTTAACATTGTAACCAGAGTTACTTACACGAGTTCCAACCTCACGCACGGGGGAGACAAGTTGGCCACGTGTTTGGTCAAGGTAGAAAATCGCAGGAATTTTTAGGAAACGAGTGTCAAGACATGTATGATGCTTGTTGCATGCTCGGTCGTAAAATGGTTTGCATACTGAGAAGAAAAACATTTGAAGATTCATTCGTGCGATGTGAAGTTACTCACAGAAATAAGCTTTATATCTCGTAAATAAATTCCCAAGTATTTCCTCTCTGTGTACATTTTTTATCGAATCAAGTTGCAAGGTCTCAAATTGTCACAATTGCAAGTCACTGCTAACGTGCATTCAACATACACTGCCGCGTTATCTTACTTGTGACACATGAAAATTACCTCAAAATAATGTTCTTACTTTGAAATTCTTAAAAAAAGTTACTTTAAAATTTTTTAGCAAAAAGATACTTAAAAAAGAATAAAAAAGTCGGCCCATTTTACCCATCGTCCTTTATTATGTCACATTTGCACGATCACTGCGGCTCCTGTCATAATCGATTACGCATGTACATCAGCATGCACATCAGAGGCGGGTCTTAATCACGACAACTTGAAACGCTGCAACTTTGTTGCTGATAAAAAGTGGGCTGCAAACCGTCTTGCGACCGAGGATACGTCGATACGGTGATTTAGCGAATGTCGTTCGCGGGGAACGTTGCAGGAAAGGACTTCTGGAGGCCCACGTACGGCCCACAAACGTATTACGCGACAACCCTCGGCTCCAACGCGGTAATTCTCCTCACCTCTCCGGATCGTCGCGTCGCACAATGGCCGAAAAACCTACCTAACTCTCGCATAGGCGACTCGTCAGAGAAAGAACACAACGTGCGTACGTGTGCGTCGCCGAGAGAAGGTGTGAACGAAAAAAAAGAGAAGAAAAGAAAGAGCGACAGGAAGAACGAGGCGCGCGCGCGCGCACACAGTTCGTGCCCGGCGGCGGATCGGATTTCGTTCATTGTCATTGTAATTTCTTGACGGGGTGTAGTTTTTGGGGCGTTCCTCACCACAGGGGTATTACCTACAGATGGCTGTTTGTTCGAATGTCACCGAGGGTTATTATATGCCTCGTTACTCGCTCTGTGACAGCTTATTTGGCCAGTCTTTCTATCTCGCTGTCTTCTCGCCTCTCTCTCTCTCTCTCTCTCTCTCTCTCTCTCTCTCTCTCTCTCTTTTCCTCTTTCTATGATGTTGCTTCTCTCGGCCTCGCGCTCTCCGGCTCTTTTCTCCGTCTAGTTTCATTTCCCGAGATATAAGCGAAATTTTCAATCTTACTTCGCGATAAAAAATGCAGGCCGCTATTGAAATTTTTAATTTTCTCTCGCAATGAAATGGAGAGTGCTGTCGAAATTTTCCCCATTTTCGTCGCGGCAAAATACAGGGTATTATTGAAATTTGTCATTCTGTTTTGCAATAAAACACAGGGTGACTTGAAACTTTGTTTAAGAAGAAATATCAAAAATAATTGGTATGAAAAAATGCTTGTTCTGAACTCTTTCGTCGACCACAATGCCTCTAAGTGCGACTTGCAAACTGACTGACTGACTTGCAAGCACATTTAGAAGCGCTTTTATTGATTAAAAAGATTTCAGAATAAGTCTCTTAGTCGACCTGGATCCACTCCCGTACGATTTTACGTTGCGTGTCGTTAAGACGTACGATCAGGCAGAGATTAGGTAGAGATCAGACAGAGAGAAAGAGAGAGAGAGTGATTAAGCAGAGATTAGGCGGCCACCACGTTCGGATGACAGCTCTAATAACTTTGAAGGACATTAATCTTCGTCGTTGTCCACGTGACTGTCTCGATCGAGACAGATCTCCGAATCCTCCGTTCGATCGGATCCACGGGGGGGAGGGGGGGGAGTTTTCCCGCGTGGGGCGGGGCACTTTTCCGCGGAAACGAAAGGACAAGACGCAAAACCCGCACGCAACTTGCTTCTCTCATGTATGCCGATTGGTGACAGTAACTACGGCGATATATATCGACGTTGCAGCAAAGCGCGTTCCGCTTCTCGGAAGCCGGTTATACAATTATCGCGGCTTACCTTGGCTCCGTCACTCGACGACGTGCTCCAGTTTAACTTCGCTACGAAGTATCGAGGACGAACGAACGGATTTCACCGGCGACACTCCGGCACTCCGATGAAATTTCGATCGTAGACGCGCGCGTCCAATTCGGCCGAATTTTTCGACCCGCCGATTACGGCGCGCGCGGAAATTTAATAATCAACAATCACCTTTGCCAAAGAGATCCTCCAAAAAGCGCGGTCCATCGTACCTTTTATTTCTGGTGAAAAGTCGTGCGGTGCAGACAGACAATTTGCAATAACAAATAACCGATCGATAACAATCGCGTGTGCGTCTGCCGCGGCATCTGTATTTTATTTCGGTTTCAGTTCGACCGATCAAAACAAGTATGTTTGCTCGCGATAACTTTGCGAACGACCGTACTGAATTGTATGTACGCGCGCGCGCGTGCAACTGCAAACTGCGGCCGGGAACAATTGAAAACTGATATTCGTTTCCCCGGTCAGTGAAAGTCACCGAGCGAAATCGCGCGTGTAATTGTGAAAATAGAAAAACCCGCAGAGTCTGAAGATCTAAAGCGAAACAGAGAAAAAAGTTTGTTCCATCCGCGATATTAAAAAAAAAAAAAATAAGAGTTGCACACCGTCGCCGTGCGTCCGTTGTTTTATTCGAAGGAACATGTGTTCTAC